AGTCTTACTCAGACTTACTGACTTCAAATTATGTTCCAAAAAAGTAACCATAAAAATTATTTGGAAATGCTTTTTAAAGATATCAAAGAAAGGGGCTTTGGGGTAATCTGAGTTCATGTCCCACCTCTGACACATATCGGCTTTGCAATCCTGCGGAAGTCACCTAACATCTCAGGGATCCAAACAACTCCCTAAAACTGTAGAGTACAGAACGGGTGCCAATCTGCATTGATAGGAAAAGCTGATCTCCAGAAGCTACCAGATCAAAACTACAAGCACAGTCCAAAACAGCAAAACAAAACCTACCAAAAAGAAAACAACAACAAAAAAGTAGAAAAGAAGAATGGAGGAATAGGTAAACTCAGTATTTAACAAATCTTGCACTTACCATAGTGTTTGGCACATAGCAGGCACTTAATAAGTGTTTATCGACTGATCTGAGAACATGGCTGGGAAAACCAGGAAAGTATCTTAACAGAAATTAGGTTTAGACCAACATCATATAGCATAAACCACAACAAACTCAAAATGGATAGATAACATGAATACTAAAAATCATACCATTTTTTTAAATTAAGGGAATCAGAATATGTACCTTTCACAGCAGAGCTTGATGGAGTTCTTAATTAGGCATTGTTGTTCATTCTTCATTTTTGAAGAGGACCAATGACATCAGGGGTGAAGATGATTTATGCATGAACTGGATTTAAGTAAGGGAGGTGCACAAAATCATCGGCCTTATTTTCTCTTCCAGAGTATCAAAGTCCAGTGGCAGGACAAAAGTCAAGATGACTGATGATGGTCTGGGATGCAGTGGATGACCTTGGCATCTTCAGTGTCTGACCGAGCTCTAACGTTCCACAGCATCTGCTCTGGCCGCCTTCATGGCCACTGGAACAAATTGTTCTCATCTACTCTTTCCACCAGGAAATTCTTGATGTGTCCTCCCTCAAAAACTCTGAGGGGACAAGGATCTCATTCTCTGTGGGATCAGCTACCCCCTTCTAGTGGCAAGAATGTACCCACGACGGTACTTTCCTCTGTGATATTGTCATTGCTACTCCCTCCACCTCAACTGATTTTTCCCAGGTACAATTACAGTTAGTTATAGCTGAGGCGTGTTGTTGTTTAGTACTTCTGAGTTGTGTTGTTTCTTCATGATACCTATTGTCATTTTCTTGACAAAAATATTGGAGTGGTTTACCATTTCCTTTTCCAGTTCATTTTACAAATGAGGAAACTGAGGCAACAGGATTAAGTGACTTACCCAGGGCCATACAGTTAGTAAGTATCTGAAGCCACGTGTGAATTCAGGTCGTCCTGACTTTCAGGCCTAGCTCTCTCTACTGCACCACCTAGCAGCCCACAGCTCAGGTGTATGTATGTATGTATGTGTGTGGGTGTATACATGTATATGTGTGTGTGTGCGTGTGTACATATGTGATCTTTACCTCTTTGGATATGTTCATTTTTCTATTCTGACACCTCTGTGGCCTCTCATTCTCTTCAGAACTCCTACATGATTGACACAAACTGACTTGACAGAGAAACCATAATAAATACATCAATCTAGAATAAAATAAGTGAAAAATGAAGAGAATATAACATAAAATGTTTGCTTAAAAATCTAAATATAATTAACATATGAAGTGTTTTAAGCTACAACTTCAATAGTATATGCGTTACATGCATTTTTCCTTAATAATTTCTCATTATTAAAGTAGCACTTCAAGGTGCTACAAATAAATATAATATTTGAGGCGAAAAAAGTCATCCAACAAGGAGGAACAACGGACACATTCATGAAGCAGGGTCCTATTTCTAGTTCTATTGTGAAAGATAATCCCGTCTTTCCTTACACAGCAACCAACTTCGACCTTGGTAACTTGGACTCTGTGAAAGACTGAACAACTCGGATCCCTCCTGACCTAAAACTAATGAAGTCTGCAACTGCTTTTAAAATCTAGACTCATTATTCTTAATTGACAACTGCTAATAAATCTAAGGAAGATGGTCGAGGTTATTTCAATTAACCAATTAGTTAAATTTGACCCTAGAAATATAAGCAAGACTGTAAATTGATGACGAATTTGCAAACTGATCTTTCTTGCTGGTAACATTGGCTGTTGACCTTTAATCAAGACATCTATCCTTTAGCCACTAGTAAAGGTACTATAATTATGTCCATGCATTCTCATTCTCACATTCTCCCTTGTCACATTAGCTTTGGTTTGGAATTGGCACAAATATCTACTCAGAAGCTATAAGTACAACATAAACAGAATAATACAGCTTTTCCTCTAATCTCATTGAGTTTAAATCCCAATACTTCACGAATATACTTTCCTGCATTATTTCAATACTATAGAGTCAAATACTTGCATATCTAAACTAACACTCTCTTTTAGTTCAAATGATCCAGAGTGAATTTATACAGAAGAGAATTTTGTTAGAAATGGATTCCAATTCAACATAAATTTATTAAGTACTTTCTATGCTCCAGGGTCTTATTGTTTAAATTAAATACAGCACTCCATTATTAATTAAATGAGGAAACTGAACGATGTCACATATCCTCTTGAGTTGAGTGGTTTCATTATTTTGTTTGAAGTGTTCTAAGTTCCCAAAACATCAAGCATACCCACATTGAAATATAAAACAAAAATTAATTCCAAAAGGCAAACATAAAATACTTATATATCTGAACTACCATTTTGTTTATTAGTTCAAATGATCTAGAGCTGACTTTGTGTAGAATAGAATTTTGTTAAAAATTGATTCCAATGCAATATATATTTATTAATTTTTCTATGCTCCAAATACTGGGAACACAAAGGTTAAAAAAAAAAGATAGCTTCCTGTCATCCAGTGGAATCCTTCATAGATTTGGTGAATGAGAAGGAAGGAGAGAAAGAATGTGAATATTGCCCCATGGGCTATTATCACCTAAGGTGATATTTCAGGGACCAGATTGGACTCACCTTTATTCAAACCCCAATAACAACTAAATGAATTCTAAAGGGACTTTACCATGTATGTGTCTGCATTTACATGTCTAGGTTTTAAGCATAGTCCCAATGTCATTGTGTCTTTATTTGATTTCTTCTTTTCAGTATGTCTCCATATATATTTGTATATGTTTGAGTAATCATGTCTCTTTTGTGTTTTTATACCCAGTTGACTATGCCCATGATTAATGTGTCTTCATCTGTATTACTTTATGCATTTTTGCGTCTCTTTGTATAGAGAATGTAAGCTCCTTGAAGTCAGGGACTCTACTTTTTGTCTTTTTATCAGCATGGTCTACTACAGTGCTTTGGTCCACAGAAGGCACTTAGTAAATGTAGGTTGGATTAAGTGGAATAAGGATGTGTGGAAGAACATGGTCAGAAATGGCTTCTGAAAATGGGTTTGGAAAAGTAACAAAGAAAAGTATATGTGTGTGTGTGTGTGTGTATGTGTATACATATATGTGTGTGTATGTATGGATATATGTGTGTGTATGTGTATTTGTGTATGTGTGCTTGTATATGTACATATGTATAAATATACTTCTGTACATACACGAACATGTATGTATATATGTATGTGTGTGTATAATATATTATATATTTTATAAAATTACGTGAATGTGATGTGTATACTTGGTCTTAGACCAAATGGCTAGTTCAGCCCCCTTATTTCTCTTCTCTTGTTTCTTTGGTTACTTCTTGTCTTTTGGCCATCTTGGTGTCGACATTAAAATCAATACCAGATGGAAGACTGGGACAGGAAGAGGCAAAACACTAGAAGCATTATTGGGCTATTTGGAGACCTGTTCCTCCTTCTAGGATGAGGCATGGGAAAACAATTACATTTTATGACTAAAATAAGATTTGGAACTTAAATCTAGAGCTTTAAGAGACTGTAAGAGGCCATCAGAAACTAAAGGCCAAAGAGGTTAGGTGGCATTCAGCATCACACAGCTACTAAGTGGAAAAGGGGAGATTCATACTCAGGTTCTTTTGACTTTGACTCCAGCACATTTTCCACTGAAACATATTGCCTCACTCAAAGCCATTGTTGTCCATTATTGCAAATGACTGAGAGGGGCTTCTGTATATATATACACATGTGTAAATCTTTATTCTGTGCTTCAAGACATACAAGGGTTGTCCCAATTGCTCCCATGATACATGTAAAAGGAGAGACAATTGGTCCAGGAAAACATCCCAACCTATGCACAGTAATAATGGTATCAGTTATATACCTCTAATTATGTAATGTCTAATTGTAAACATATCACATATCAAAACATATATAAGGAATCAGTACTATTTTCATGAGCTAGACCTTAAAGTTTTCTATAGACTCACACATTGTTACCAAACTTGAAGAAAAAATCACTTCAGTTAATTTGAAATCTACTTCTTGAATTTAAGGTCATAGATTCAGAGATGAAAGGAGCCTTCAAAGTCATCTAGTGCAATCATTCAATTACTGGTTGAGGAAACTGAGACCCAGAAATGGTAAAGGAGTTACCTGATGTCATACAGGTATTAAGTGGCAAAGCTGGGCCACTGAGTTCAAATCCAACATGCTTTCCACTGCACCACATGGCCTCTCAGAATTCTAACTGCACACTGCCTTGCTTCATGATAATAAGCCCCATTCTTGCTTATCACTTATTCAACATTCAAAGGGCATTGGCATTTATTAAGTGCCTATTATGTACAAAGCAGAGAGGTAGCTGGTTTCATGGATAAAGAGCTGACCTAGAAGTCAGGAACACTTGGATTCAAGCTTCACCTCGGGCACATACTGGCTAATGTGACCCTGGGTAAATCATTTAAACTCTTAAGGTACCAGGCAACTTTCTAAGACTACAGGCTGCAGAGTAGATGCTAATCAGAAAGGCACTATACTGGATGTTGGGCATACAGAGACAAGCGTTTAAAAGTCTCTGCCCTCAAGAATCTTATGTTCTACATGTATATAGATTTAAAAAAAAAACACCCTGATGATATTTAAGCAGTAATCAAGACATTTATTACTTAAATAGCTAAGCTTTGAATATACTCACTTGTGCTATTAAATTTGCTTTTCACATTGATGTTAGCTTATTAAAAGAAAGGTCAATTGCCATTGGACATGACCACATATGTTACCTGACTTAAATGATATAGGAATAAAACATGGAGATTTCCAAGGTTATGAAAATGTAATCCGCACATTATCTTACTATTTCCACTGCTTTTCACAGAAGGTAATTTCCAATTGATTATCCCTGATTTTGTTACGTATAATACAACAACAATAACAACATATAATAAAACTCCATTGTAGGACTTGCTGTTGGGAAGATAAGTCTGTATTAATGCAAAGTTTCATGGAACATCTGTAATAAAATGACTATATGTTTGAAAATAATAAAACTCTAATTTTCTAACCTTAAACTGCTAATAAGACTTTTCCAGGGGTCCTACGGGTAACTGTTTCAAAGAATAAAGCTCCATTTAGAAACAGCATCCATTAGGTTGCAAATAATTGAATGTTTCACATGTTTAAAAAATGTTTCTCCAAGAAGGTTAAATATTTCATCTAAATCCTTGTTTACGATTACTTTTGCTTAGCAAATTCTTATTTCGTGGTTCTTTACCCAGACTCCAGATCTAGAAGAGCACAGGAATGGGAACTGCCAGAAGGAGGTCCTGCTTCACTACTATTAAAAGCAAGGAACATTTTCAGTCTAAAAGGAAGTTCTTTCACTGGCGGCGAAAACCCTGAATGTAGTTAAATAGTTGAAGTAAAAATAAGAAAGGGTCACTAGAATGTTTTTTAAAAGACCAATGATGGGAGTGATTGTCCCCAAATCAGCAATCAAACTAATTCGAACTAACATAAAAGGGAAATCCTGTAAAAAGACACCTAAGGATCTCACAAGACTATTTTGTGGTGCGACTATGATTCGAAGCAGAGAGATATAGCTAAATATGTAAACAGGATATATCCACCCCGACTTAAACACCGCAGAGTGCCCAGATACTCGCAGCATCTCAATGGTGTCAGACCACGTGATGAAACTACTCAGAAAAATCTCTGCACGCTTGTCTTGCTGGGACATGGCTCTCAAGATTCCTGAGCCGAAGGAAGACCTGTTTGCTGGCTGGGGGACTGCATGGTTTTCCTCACGTGGCTTCACCTGCTCAGTTACGGTTTTCACTTGCTGCAAATTAGTCATATGGATATGTGAATCTTCATTTTCTGAAATAAATCAAATATTTAACAGAGTCAATTAAAAAGTTATAATGTTTTAAGGTAGAAGGTTAACATATTCTCTATAGACCTATTAGGACACAGATCTAGAGATGACTATTAACTTATCAACGACAGGATTTCAGAATAATATCAAAATAAACAAACAAACATTTCTTAAGGACCTAGTGTGCGCAGAGCACTAGGGGAAATCAAAAAGTTAGATAAGACATAGACTTTGACTCTCAGGTTACTAAAACTGGAATACTGTGGACAGTCCAACAAGTGGATAAAACTCAAATAACAACAGCTGTAATGTACAATGAAGGTGACAGACCTGGGGCTCATGAGTAACATGTGGCCCACAATGATCCTGAGAGATGCCCAAATTAGATTAAAATGTACTTGGGAAATATTTCGCAAAGTAAATAAAAATACAATAGATAACATTAATATGTGGTTTTCTAAATCAATATGCAGCCTGCAAGTATCCTTATGTACAGTTTAGTGACCAATATTTTTATTTGAGTTTGGCACCACTGATGCACAAGATTATACAATAAGTGCATCATTGAGGTGTCATGGAGGGGACCAAGGGGAAAGATTGTTATTGACAAGGTGAAGGGAGAGGGTTAAGGGAGGGGAAGAAATAGGGAAGACTCTATAAAAGAGGCAGCATTTAAGTTGAGATACAAAGAAGGAGAAGGAATCCCAAAGGCAAAGAGCTGGAGGAAAAATATTCCATACAGGGGATACCATGAGTTAAGGACACAGAAGCAGGAAAGACAATTAACAGAAAGAGCATAGCTAGCTTAATATTTATTGTGCAAAAAAGGGAGCATTAAGTCTAGCTAGTTAAATGGTCTAGAAGAAGGCTTTGAAGGACAGGCGAGGAAGTTTTAGAATTTTACTCAAGGAACAAGAAGGAACTAGTGAAGATTATTGAACAGAAAAGTAGCATCATATCTCGGCATAAATATGGGGTGACTTAAAGTTTGTAGCCAGAACATATGAGGAAAGTATTAAGAGACAGAGGATTGAAATGGAATGTGAGGCCCCCAAACAACTCTACCCAAGGGTACTTTGCTTTCCCCCTCCCATTCATTTGCACAGGAGACCAAAAAAGAATCTTGGGTTGATAAAAAACTGGGGTACTTCAGACCCAGAGTTTTGGGCAGTTTGTTGAAAAGGAAGCCCCTTAAAATAATTTCAAAGTGGTGTAGTTTGGAAATTGGAAATTACACGAGTTACAAGGATTTTCTAACCTTCAGTCAGATAAAGGCTTAGACCAGAGACTTTATTCTAAGTGATAAAGAAGAGATTAAAAAGACAGACTTAAAGTCTGTATGTACTACTTTGCTGGTTGACTGTTCTGTGTTTCAAAAAAGCTGATTCCATGGAGACAACATTCTTCTTCTGAAGAGGAAAAGCCTATAATAGTCAAAGTTCTGAAAACTGACAGATTCTCAACAAGGGGAGAAAAAGCAGCTAACAGCTTTTCCTTATCTCAATACTGTATTTTGAAGGGTATGCTTCCCCTATAAGAATAAAAGCTTGTCTTTGGGACCTAAATTGAAAGAGCAATGAAAGTGCCCATTCTCTCTTTTATGGAAAAGAGGTAGCACCTCAGCTAATGACTCTAGCTGAATCCAAAGGCAGAAAGCAGAGAGAAGCTGTGCACCATGCCCAGTACAAAACATACCTGGAAACAACTGGAAACAACCATGTGACTAATCACTTAGCATTTACTAGTTACTGGTCGACTGGCAATTAAGTGTTTACTTTGTACCAAGAATTTTGTGCTAAACACAAAGAAAAGCAAAAACACTGTCCCTGATTTCAAGAAGCTTGCATATTAATGAGGGCCCATGCAGAGTCTTAGTGAATATTCATTATCAGCGACCATGACCTGGATGAAGATCTAGCAAAGAAAACTGAGGAGTAAATATTTGATTTATTTCAGAAAATGAAGACATGCATATCCATACAACTTATCTGAGAAGGAATAGTCAGACAGATAGGAGAACCAGGAGAAAACAGTGTCTTTAAAACCTAGAGTCAAAAGGACACCTAGGTGGCACAGTGAATAGAGCACCGGCCCTGGAGTCAGGAGGACCTAAGTCCAAATCTGACCTCAGACACTTGACACTTAGTGGCTGGGTGACCCTGGGCAAGTCACTTAACCCCATTGCCTAGCAAAAACAAACAAAAAGAAAAAAAAATTCTTAAAAAAGAAAAAAAACCTAGAGTGAAGAACGTATCAAGGAGAAGAGGGTTATTGACAGTATCAAAAACTGCAGAGAGGTCAAGAAAGATGAAGATTGAGAAAAAGTCATTAAATTCTATAATTAAGAGGCTGTTGGTAACTTTAGAGAGAATAGTTTCAGTTGAATGATGAGACTGGAAGCCAGACTGCATAGAGTTTAAAAGATAGGAGAGGCAAGAAAATGGAAGCACCAATTGGAGACAGTGAGGGGAGGGGGGTTGAGGACAGAGAAAATACAGATAATTTTATAGGCAGCAGAGAAGCAGCCAGTATATAGGGATAGGCTGAAAATTAGTGAAGCATAGGGAGGTAAAGAACTGGAGAAGACAAGATGAAATGGGATCACTTATGCATGTAAGGGGGTTTGCCTTGGCAAACAGAAGGGCCACCCCTTCATGTGACAGATAGGGCAAAGGAGGAGTAAGTAGGGAGAAGGCATCTGAGTGATGTGAAATGAGGAAGAAGAGAAAAGGGAAGTACTTGGTGAATCGTCTCAATTTTTTCAGTAAAATGTGAGGCAAGGTCATCAGCTGAATGGGTGGGGAGGGAGGGAGAACATGCAAGGTTTGAGGAGGGATGAAAAGATTTGGAAGAGCCACCGAGACAAATGAAATAGTGACTCTATTGAGGGAGATATAGTGAAGATCCAGAGATTTGGATATAAATTTGTAGTGGACCCAACTGGCATGGTTTCATGTCAGCAGTGTGTGAATAGGAACAAAGACACCAAATGGTGAGAGGAAACCAAGACTGGGGCTAGGCAGAAAAAAGATCTTTAATAGGATAATAGGACAAAGGACTTGATAGCTTATAGTTGAACTGGTTTATCAAGGGGTTAAGATGGAGAAAGGAGGAGAATATAGTCAATGCAGTGGTGATGCCATGGGAAAGAACTGAAGGGTTGAGGGTGGAGATAAAGAACAGGACTATGGGTCATATGGAAAAGGGAAAAGTAGAATGACAAAGATTATGATCAGAAAAAAAAATGAATTCCAGGGTTCACGAACATGGAAGTGGAAGACTTGTGGGTAAAGTTCAAGGATATTTCTGTGTGTAACTGGAGTGGGAAAGAGAAGATAATGGGAAATTAATAAGCTGAAAAACTGAGATGTTAGGATGTTTAAGGGAAAATCAATATGTATGTTGAAGTCCCTTGATGTGAGGGCAGGGGTTGGGGAAGGAGAGGAAGACTGTAAACCAGGTACCAAATCCATTAAGAAAGGAAGGAGAGTGTCCAGAAGGTCTGTAGATAATAGCTACCAGAATTTTGATTCAGTGATAAATATGGATTGAAAGAATCCAAAGGAGGAGAGTTTACTAAGTGATGGAGAAGGAGGGAGAGCCTGAACATGGCAATGGGGAATAAGGAGTATTCCAACATTCCCACCACTACCAGTAAGTCAAGGGTATGAGTTCATACTCTCACATATGCAATTAGTGCTGGAAAGAGGGGTCAGAGATTCCATGTCAGCAAGAGGGAATCAGTAAGATCACCAAATCAGCATTTAATACATTTTTTCTTTCATTTATTCATTCATTAAATTAATTACTCCTGAAAACTGGCATCTCTGAAGCCAAGACAGTTATGTCTATACAGGGGGAGGGGCTGGTCAAAAATGTTCACCGAAAGTACACAGATCACATGATTTAGAGCTAGAATTTAAAGCTGAGAAATCTATAGTCAAACCTCTTCCTTTGAGGTAACTGAGGCCCAGAGAAGTAAAAGACCTAGAAGACTGTGAGCTGCTTGAAGCCAGATGATATCTTCATTTCTCTTTTTGTGCCTTCAGCGCCTTGCATATAGTAAATTAGTAAATACTTGTTGAATTGAATGGAATGAGGTCCAAAATAAAGCCTTTTAACCAAAAGGCTGTTGCTGGAACAGAATCAAATTCTAGATATCACTTTGCCAATTGTTAACAGTAAAATGCCCCCCATATTCTTAGTGGCAGCTGTCATCTAGGAATCATTTGGACAAATTGTGCACGCGCACATATACATATACATGTATGCATGTATATATGCATTTACATACATGTATATACAATGGACATATATAATCTAATATTATATAGATTATATATATAGATAAGAAAACTAAAACCAAGAGAGGTTAAGTCACTTGCCCAATGTCACCTAGCCAGTTTATACTGGGACTACTTTGCCCGACTCCCATTCCAGAGCTCTCTACCACATTCTATAAATGATAAATATTTGAATATTAAATTAAGATGAATTTGGCAACCATATACATGTGTTAGTACTGGAGATGAATACCTTGAGGTAAAACACTCCAAAGTTGTCCTTTCTTTATTAATTGTGGGATTGGAGGGCAAAGGGCCCTGTATTTTTCTTCTTAACAGAAATAGCTCCATTTTAGAACCAGCATCTATCTCCGTATACATTATGCAGATCATGTCACTTCCTTACATTAGGATTTACTATCTCACCGCCCACTTTGCTTGCAAAGGCTAGAGGTTATCATTATAATCTGAATAATGTATATACTGATCCAACCCCCCCCCACCTCCACAAATCGAAGAAACAGAACTAAGACTTTGACAACATGACTTATCGCCAGCATCCTTCTTCTCACAGTGACAGACTAGGAAGTAAAATATTCCAAATCCACATCTGATAATTGCATGCTCTGTTCATCTCTCCTTGTTACCTTATTTGCAAACCACCGTAACAGCCACCAAGATTTACTTCCTTCTTCATTATCTAATGGTTGGAATTTGTA